TATATATATATATATTAATTTCATGTTCTACATTCAATTAAAAACATCCCCATAGCAGGAAAAATGTTAACTTTTTTAAATATATAATTTAAATGTCAACATTTTTGCAGCATTTAAAAAGACTTTTAAATTATTTTAAATGTTCTAATTGGAAAAAAAAAGCTTCATGTAAATATAAGAGACAAATAATAAAAATCATTGACATACCCGTAAGAACAGGTTTTGGTTGTTTTTCTGGACTTTCAGGGGATTTTTTCGAATCATTCCTATAAAAAAATTATTTTAACTTGTATTTCCTTTTATTTAGTATAACTAGACTATAAGACATGGAATAATTCATTTTGTACTAAACACACATCCGAAGCATTTAAAAAATTTTTTTTCTAACTTTTTAAAACCTAGCAAAAATATTTTATTACGAAAAGTCATAGTTTTATATGCATAAGTATAAATAATACTAATTTTTCTATGAAATTGAATTATATCTATAATCTAATATTTTTTCAGAATTTTTTTTTTGAAATTTTACAAGAAGGTGATATTTTTTCATTTATAAATCAGTGAAACAAAATACATTACTTAACCTATAAGTTGCTTAAGAAACAATTCACATATCAGCTATAGTTAAAAACAGTGTTAGAATATTTTCCTTAATATAAGACAAGCGGATGCTTCGCAACTTTTTCTTCTTTTTGGAGCAATACAAAAGTTGCCGCATGGATATTGACGATATATTTTTATCTTTCAAAATAAACAATATCTTCTGGGGTCAAAATTTTGTATTGTTAAAATTTTACACCACAATTGTCACTAATTTCAATGAAGCTAAAATTGTAATGTGTTTGGGTAAAACAATGCGAGTTTATAACTGACTCCTAAACCTGTTCAGGACGGTGATTCCACGAGATTCTGTCATCTCGCCCTCCATTGTCTTATTACAATCAAACGAGTCATTCCGACATACTATGATCACATGATTTAAATTTGGAACCTTTTATTTCAATTTTTAGATGACTCTTGATGAAATCAGTTATAATATCTCACAGAGGGTTCTCCTTCAATATACACTTCCGAGTTTTCTTTTTTTTATTTGATTTAGGGTATTTAAGCGTTTATAAAATTGTGCGTTTTCGGCTCATTCGAGAGTATTGGTTGCGTGAATTGTTGCGTTCCAGATTTTCGCTAGTATTTTGGTGCAGTGAGTGATTCACAGACGTTTGCTAAATAATATGTCTTTGGAAATGATTTTTAAGCATAGCGAGTGTTACAGTGTATTTAAAAATGAACAATGGGAAGGATGAATGGGGAGCATACAAAAATATTCATTAAACTCCACCTAAAAAGAATGTCACTATTGATAAAAAGAGAGGTGCAGACTGGAGATTTATTGGTAAATGAATAAGAAAGGATGGATTAAAGATTTAAACAGACTTTGGAAATAAATCACTTAAATAACGGGGAAATAAATAAAGAATGGAAAGATTTATGTGCTGGAAAAATTCTTGGAAAGAAGAAATTTGATAATAAAAAGTGGATATCAAGAACTTAGTTTGTGAAAGACGTGAAATCAAAAAGGAACTTACTGAAATTTAATCAGAACATTGGGTGGATTATAAGATGAAAAATAAAGAATATAAGTAAAAGACAAGATAAAGGGAAATATTCAGAAGCTATGGCCACATTAACTGAAGAAGCTCACTAGATTGCCCAAGGAAGTCATTTTGACTGCTTTTTAATTTCAATTAGAAAAACAATAATGTATATAATGTCACAATTTCTCAGAATTTTGTGACTTTTATAATTATTTTTATTGTTGCTATTTACTAATAACTTGTTATAAAACTGAAAATAATATCAAAAATATTTAAAATTAATTTTAAACAAATTTCTTTATACATTAGTTATTCTTTTACAATGCAGTCATTTTGACTGCCTCTGGGCAATATAGGTATTTCAGTCTTTCTAGTGTTAATAACAATTACTCAAAGAGACTTTAATGCATCACTTATAAAATTAGTAGAAAGAAACGAGAAATTGAGAAGCGAATTAAGAACAAACAAGGTTTAAAATTTACATCAAAAGAAGACTAAACCAAAAGATGCGTTGATCATTTTAAGGAAACCTTAAACGAACTAAATCCTGTGGAAGATATTCCAGAAGAAGCACCTAGACCATTAAACATAAACACAGGTCCAATAACCCAGCTTGAGGTGCAGTAAGCAATACAATTGCTTAAATGTGGGTAAGCTGCTAGCAGCGATAACCAACCTGTGGTGAACTTTGCAAGAAAAGTTCAAAAACTGCAATCAAAACCTCAAAGGGCCGGGATAGCCTGGTTTATAGAGCACTGAGCCCATGTCTAAGAGGTCATGGGGTCGATACCCGCCGATTGAAGACTCCTCGTGTGGTAAATGGTGACTGATGCACGTTGAATCTGTGGAGTTACTAAATCCTCCAAGTTAACATAACAAATCATACCTCTGGGGGTACTGATCCAGGAGTTTCCATGTCTTCTTTATTGGTTCAAGATAACAGAGTAGAACATTAGTAGTCGTAAACCCAAAATTGGGTCAGCTGTTCAACGACGGTTATAAAATAAGATCAGTCTAACAAAAACATGACGAACGAAGATAAAACTACCAAAAAAAGGGTTATTTGACGATATGTGTCAACTGGAGAGGAATCACTTTGTTAAATGTTTGTTTTCACTAGAATAATGCTAGAAAGAATGAAAAATGCAATTGACAAAAGCCTGCCACCAGTGCAAGTGGAGCTCATGTGTATTAAGGATTATAGTTGAAGAATCTCTTGAATGGCAATCAGCAATATATTTCATAGATTTTGAAAAAGCTTTCGACAGTTTACACAGAGAAGCACACTGGAAGTCCCATGGAATTCCCGAATGTCTTGCAAATATTATCAGAAAGAAATCTTTCATGGTTGATTCCGGTATTAGACAGGGCTTGTTTTTATTGCTATTGATTGGATTATGAACAGAGAATAAAGGGAGTATAAGATGGAACCTTGCAGACCCTTTAAGACATTTTAAACTTAGAGAGAGGCAAAGAAAATGGGGAACAACCAGAATAAAACTAAAACTAATCCTAGGCCTTAGACTTAGAAAATAATAAACTAGAGAAAGTAATCAGCGTATCTTCAAAGTACAATTAACAACAAAGGAAGATCTAAATAAATTCAACAAAGCAGTTATGCTATTCTAAATAAATTCTGAAACAAAATATAACAAATTTATCAAAAATTAGAATTTTCAATACTAATGTTAAATCTCTCCTACTCTATAAATCTGCAATTAAAAGAACAAGAAAAAAGCATTATCAATAACTGTTTAAAAAGAATCTTGCGTATGAAGTGGTTCTATAAAATTTCTATTGCAGAAATCCTTAGAAAATCTAGACAGAAATCGATTGATTTGGAAATTAAAGAACGTAAATGGGAATGGGTTGGTCATGCTCTACGTAAACCTAAAAAACTTAAAGTAAAACAAGTCTTTGATTGGAACCCTAAGGGAAATAGAAAAAGAGGAAGATCTAAAAATACTTGGCCCAGGATGATTATAAATGAATTGAAAATTGTATGGACTGTAATATGAAAGGAATATGTATGTAGAAAAGTAGCAATTTAAAATCCTACTTGCTATCAAAAATCTCTTTAAATGGCTTTTTCTCTGTAACTATCTACTCTGTAACTACTAACTACCTATTTGAAAATTTATTTTAACAAAATGGCTTACCAATCATACATTCAAAACAAAAATTATAATAAACGCGCCATTTCTGTAGGTTATAGAGAAATGAAAAAGAGTGGCCAGAAAATGACATATTTTCGTGTGACTTCCCTTAGGAAAATTTGCCATAGACACGCCTATGGTAATCTATGGTAATCATAAAAACTTATACGGCAAGATACCCTAAGCCTATGGTAGTCATAGAAATTCGTATGGCATTTATATGGCAAGACACTATACGCCTATGGTTACCATAGAAATTTGTATGGTATTCAAATGGCAAGACACCTTAAGCCTATGGTCACCATAGAACTTGCATGGCGTTATATAGCGGGAAACCATAGCCTTAAAGGGAAGTACCATAGGCAAACTAATATATGGAACATGTTTGGTGACCACCGAAGATCCATATAAACTAATCCTTTTAATAAATTATGTCCACCTTAGAGAAATGTATAGTTATTTAAAAAAGCTCGAATCCGATACTCGAATCCGATAATCTTTAGCCAAATTAGCTCTACTATAACGTTGAGTGAATTTTGTTAACTTCAAATGTTCTACAATCTTTGATGTTGTTTGATTTTGGATTAATCAACAGTAGAGAACCAACAAAATCAGTAAGTTCACTCCATTTATTTTTTGTTACTAATAATTATTTTATTATTTTTGTAATTTTTGTCGCAAAGATTCAAATTATTCGGATATTGTCCGGTAAGAGTTCTTAGCCTTCCTGTATAATTATTGTCATCGATATTTAACAGCTCTCACTTTAATTTTTCTAACTATAATTATTCTTGTAGCATAATCATTGTGAAAAATGATCCCTGTAATTCTTGTTTATTCTAGTCTATATGTAAATTAATAATTACTAAACCGTAACTAATAAACAGTAATTAATAATTAATAAACCTTAATAAGTAAACAGTAATTAGTAAACGATAATTAATAAACGGTAATTAATAATTAATAAACCATGATAAATAATTAAAAAACCATAATTTTAGGGCAAAAATTTGGTATATATAAAAATTACCATAGGATATTCCTATGGGTTTTGTCTATAATAAAATGTTACCATATATGCTTATGGGAAAAGTGTATGGCAAAATTTTACCCTAGGCAAAACTCCATAGGAAAATCCTACTGTAATTTTTATGGCAAATCTATGGCAAATTTTCCTAAAAGTTGTTTTAGCTTGTGTGAAATTATTTGTGCAAATTATTTTTGAAATCATTCATTGTGCCACAGTCCAGATATGCCTTTAACAGCTTAGAAGTGAAATACAATATGGAGCAATGCAATGATAAATAAATTACACGCTACAATAAATTTTTAGCAATTATACGCAACAAAATTTTTTTAGTGTGCACACAAAATAAATTCAACTCATAACTTTGCAATTTAAATTGAATACTTAATGAATTGTTACTTTTCTTATAATTATATAAAATGCGAAATAAGTCATGTCGTTTATGATTGTTATCAAGTAGATCAGCAATCCATCACCTGTTGTTCATTTATTTATTCATTTTGTTTTGTAAAGCTACTGCTGAGTAAAATATAGTTCGAAATTAAATCCGAGAATTATATTTTAAACATTAGTAATAGGATAACCAAAATTAACTACATGTTCTTTTACATTATTAAACAAAGGAGAAATCACGGCAATAGAGATAAATTATCTTATTAAATTCAAAACATTAAAAAAAACTTGTTAAGAGGAAGAGAATAGTGAAAAAAATATAAATAAATTTCTCTAATGATAATTTTAAAAAAACGCAGACTTTAATGTAAAGGGTACCAAAACTTTCAAATAATGGCGTCATTCAAAATCATGAAGTGGATTATTTTTTAGTCCTGTTTAAAAAAGGATTCATTTTTTTAACGCTTTAATAAGAAATGTATGGTAAGTTGATATAAATAATTAATCAAATCAAAAAGCTAAACATTTTATGAATATGTGCTTTATGAACAACCCTCTGGCAAAAAGTTTGTTCTCCTTTAAGTCACCCACTTTGGGAATCTTTAGTTTAGGGGTCAAGGAAGTAAACAACACTATACCATCTACAATCAATAAATTGATAAATACATTTATAATTGAAACAAATAATATGAAATATTTGAGAGACTTACTTTGCAGAAGTAATGGAAATATAGTTGTTTCTTACTACTTTTAAACTTGCTAAAATTTGGGCAAATGGTGTCACGATGAGTTCTTCTCTAAAAACAAAACAATATGTGTTCCAAAAAATTCAGATTTATTCTAATTTATTAAAAATATGCATGAATATTTTTCAAAACTATTTAAAAAAAACGTCATTTTTCTCTCGAAATCTTTATGTAAAATGCAGCTCATTTTATTTTAGTACGTTTGTGATTCATGCATATTAAAATACAATAAATGTGTAAAACCTAGGAGACATTTAATACTGCATTAAAAAATTTCTAAAAATGTACCTACGAAACAGTTTTTTTTCATAAAATTTTCTTAGGAAATTTTAAAACTCTTTGAATTTTTTATTCTTTTGCAGAATTTCCTTTTTCACATTTTCTTAAATATTTTGCAGACAATTTTTAGACAGTTAGATAATCATTTTGAATCTCAATATGTTTTCAGATTTTTTGAAGATGTTTCATAAACATGATCGTTTTATAGACATGGACTTACCATCCCTGGCTAGATTATTAGATGTACAGTACACTCTCGATTATCCGTGCGTGGATTATCCGGTTTGCGGATTATCCGTGCTCATTCCGGAATCACACAAAAAATATAAAGAGGAGCATTTTCAAGATTAAAAAAATTTGATTCATGAAGTTATAACACTACCAAATTTTTGGAAGCAATATTCGTTATTGGATTGCAGTATATGGAATATCAGCAACATGGTCAAAGGTAAAATCTTCTACGTTATCACGATCTTGGGGAAAGATCATACCGGTTGATGAACAATCCTCTTCAGATGTTCAAGAAAAATATGATAACAGTATTCTCGAACAAGCAAAAGAAATCTAAGTTTTCGAAATTCCTGATGAAGAAAATTTAGAAGATTGGTTTCAAAGTGATGCACGTGAGCCTGGCTTCCAGTATTTGACTGATGAAGACATCGTTATGTTGTTAAATCAAATAGTGATGATAGTAACTGATCCAGAAGATGTAGTAAATGAATGAAATACAATTTCTCATTCTGCTGCTCTGTGGAGTGACATTACTGCGGTACGTAAAATATGTGTCTCGATATATGGCGAAGACGCACTACACATTTTTTAAAAAGGAAAATTCCTAGTTTGATGTTATGCATGCAAATGTCAGTAATTTTTATATTTTTTGTACTGATATTGAATTTTTCCTTAACAAAAGGAGTTTTCGGATTATCCGTGTTGTTCGATTGTCCGTGCGACCTGTCCCGGTGATTAACCCGGATAATCGGGGGTGCCCTGTACTATAAAATTCTATGTAAAATCTCAATTATCAGGTGATATTATACAGCTTTATTGTTTTTACGTGGCTGAAACCGGTTTAAATTTGCTTACGCTCGAGTATCAATTCTTTAACATTGTAATACAATTCGTTAAAAATAAATACCAATAGGAAGGATATAAGAAAATCTCCCGAATAAAAGTCCTTTTCATGCATGTTTAAATATAAAAGGATTACATGCAAAACATGTAATCATAAAAAACTACAGTACATCTAATAATTTGGTCTAATTATTATTATAATATACTAATATAATACCTGATATAATAAATATTCTTTAGTTACATAATATATCGTCAATTTATCCAATCGTCTAATTTATATTATCCATCGTCTAATTTAATCAATTAATACAGGAACGTAACCCAGTGCAAACCGGTTTCAGTCACGTAAAAACAATAAAGCTGCATAGTATCACCTGATATTCCATGAGTGCACATATTATTTTTAACAAAATATCTTCAAACTGATTTGTCAAGACGTTTGGCAGTAGAAGCTTTTTTTTTTATTATAGCCTAACTTTGCTATAGTGAACCTGGGATATTGTATACACTTACATTCCCTGACCAACTTATTAGACGCACTAAACATTCTATATAAAATCTTAATTATAATGTAACACTATACAGCTTTATTGTTTTTACACGGCTGAAACCGGTTCGCACTTGTTTACGTTCGTATATTAATTGGTTAACATTGTAAAGCAATATGTTAAAAAAAAATACAAATAGGAAGTATATGAAAATCTCTTGAACAAAAACCCATTACATTTATGTTTAAAAATAAAAGTATTGCCTATAAACAAGAGCAAAACGTGTCATTATGAAAAAACTACAGTGCGTCTAATAATTTGGTCGAATTACTATAATATACTATATAATACCCGATATAATAAATATTCTAAATTTATATAATATAACGTCTAATTTATCCAATCATCGAATTGATATTATATATCGTCTAATTTAGCCAATTAATACACGGACGTAAACAAGTGCAAACCGGTTTCAGTGGTGTAAAAACAATAAAGCTGTATAGTATTACATGATGATTAGGATCTTATGGTGTGCCTAATAATATAACTGTATTCGTCGTGAGCATTTTTATTGGTTCGAACGGCTGTTATTTTACACGCTTATAGTGAAGAGCTGAGAAATTGATTGTTCGTTAATGGAGGGTTTAATTGTTACAAAATTATGTGATCTAAAAATTTTTAATTAAAAATAAAGAAGTAGTATAATAATGAGTTGTTTTACTGAAATAAAGCGTTCCAAAATCAGACATATGGGAGAGCAGAAACTTTTCATTGCAACTATTTTTTAAAATTACAAAAACAAAAGATCTAAGAAATTATAAAATGACGAAAATTGAATAGTTATTGTTATAGGTAGACAATCGCTATATGGAAAGTATTTCAAATGTTTTTTAACGTTCACTATTTCTAAAATTCCTACTGCAATATGCTACAAAATATTGCGGCTATCTTGAACTATCACTTAGAGTGTTCACTATATCTTCATAGGGAACGTATAAATTAATATAGAAGTTGTCCTAATTTTCTTGCTAATTACAAAATTCTTATTAAAGTTACCTTGTTAAAATTGGTCGACTATTTTTTTTTTAGCTATATGTTAATATTTGTGCTTTCACGATATTATTTGTCACATCAACTGTAGTAAATAATTGAAAAATCACTTCTTGTGATTAATAGTTACAAGAAATACAATAAGTAAAAATATGAAAATTTCATACTATCTGTGAGATCGATCAAGAAGAATATTTTCAAACGTGGATGTAAATACTTTTAATAATATTAGGAAATCGATATTTTATTTTATAAGATCTGACAAATACTAATTTGAATATTTTAAATGAGGTTATATCAAGAATGATTGATTGCTAATAAATATCCTTTAACCTCTTCCTTGACTATCCCAAGTTAATGTATATATTGCAAATATCCCGAGGGCATTCGTCAATACGTTTTGTCTTATCACGCCTTTACTTCGCCGGATGCATAATGATTATTTGCTGTGATTGGAAATTTGTCAATTTTTGTTTGGGTGTTTTGCTATTTGTGGGACTGCAAACGTGCAATTGTACATACGAGGGTTACTGAATTTACATAGAAAAAAAAATGGCGCTCGCGAACAAAAGTAATGCGAGTGATTTTTCAAATTATGAAAATGCGAACATATACGAAGACTAATATTTAACTTTTTTCACTTGCCCGAGATAATTTGGTATAGTAAACTGATGGTAAATTAAATATTTTTTTGCTAATAAGAAAATTAAATTTTCAACTTAGAACTTGTGTATTATGTTTTGTTTTAGTTCCTTACAGTTATTAATGAAATAAATTTGTTTTTATAAAAAATTGGAGGTGGAAACATCGACTAAGTATTTTTGGATTCAACATTCTTAGTAAGGCATTTTAAACCAAACAATTACTTTTAGAGAAAGAACTCACGTTTCCTGTGAAGAATGTCTGGACTTTGGATCAACATCATGATCAGATCTGTAAAGGAAAGATTCACGACGTTGTGGGAAACTTTGCACCAAAAGACCAGATGCAGGACTCTCCAATAATGTGCGAGTTGCTGGGGGAATTCCATCGTCAAAACTAAAATCAAAATCATCTTCATTAAATCATTTAACACAAAAAATGGTGGCAACAACTGAGTGATGTAGTAAAACACCTTCTCGGTATAAAATAGCTGCCACCATTTTTGTCACTCACCAATATTTTTTATTACACACATAAGATTCAGTAAAGTTGTTTTTATGAAACTGTAAGAAAACTAATTCTTGAAACAAAATTTATTTATAAATCAAATATAAGCACATAAAACGAAATGGAACTAGGCTTGACAAAACCGATAGAAATTATACATTATTTAATACAGTTTATAGAGACTTAAAAATTAATAAGAAATAAATATCCTTATTACACAACTAAAAACATACACACATTTTTGATGGCAAGCTTTTGTTTCTGCAAGGAAGATCACAATTTGTATTCAAATGTAAACAAGCTATAGACGTCACCATTGGTGTTTTCAAAAACAAAAATATTTATCGTATGGTGTCGTATTAGCCTGGTATAAATCTTCCCATTTTAAGTATATAATTAAATCCTTTAAATTAGATGAAATACTAACTGAAAAAAAGTTTTACTTTTCGAACTGTTCATCACTACAGATTTTACAGTGTAGTTTTAAATACTGACACACACTTAAAATTTACACGCAAACAGAAAAAGCAAAGTTTGTTTCATTTCAAGTGCTGCAAATTAAGGAGCTTAATATCATATAACAACATACGGATACCGAATTGAGAAATATTCCATTTTAGGGATTGGTATAGAATCATTTCTCAAAATTAAATTTGAAAATATATTTGTTAAAATCATCTTTCGGTTAATAGCTTAATAAATAGGTGCTTTCGAAATGAGTTGTAGAGAACGGGTATGAAATGCAAAACATAAATCAGCTTTAATGATTTGTTGGGTAGGCTTTTACTTAGGTTCAGTATTTTCTATATTCAAAGAATTTTCTTATTAAGATCTCAAAAATAAAATATTCATAATTATAATTGTGTTTGATAAAAATGCACTCAAAATTTATGAAGAAACAAATTTGTAAAAAAAAGGCCATATAATATCTATACTCATTCTTAATAATTGCGAAAAATAATTTGGAATTTTTCAAGAGGTATTAAAACGTTCATTTATTTATTAATTTATTTTTGAATTATAAAATAAATAATAAATTGCATTCACAGACTGAATTGTGACCTTCATAATTTTTAATTGCCATAATCAGGCAATTTTCAGTAGTTTTTTTTTTAACAATTTCTATAGACATTTTATTAATATTTTTTATTTACACCAAATTTGTAAAAATTGAATTTTCGTAATTTATATTAAACAATTGTAATTCATTTTAATATTAGATAATTTGTTTTTAATAATACGTTAAAAATTATTTTAACAAAATATTAAAGTGTGAGACACTATACAAAAGCATTTAGAAAATTCGTAGGTTTTTAGGGGGTATTTTGAAACGATAGGTTATTTATTTTATACCAAATCATTTAACGCAAAACATTTAAAAAATATTCTTAGGTAACGACCTTGTGTATTTAATTTAGTTGTTCTACATTTACACTTTTTGGCAGAATATCAATTTGGAAACTGTGAAAGACTTTTTTCTATTTCAATACTTGTTACAAATTTTATTCAAAAGAAAAAATTATCTTAAGGGGTCCTTACAAGTTTTCGAGTTTTTTGAAGAATGAAAAGTATTATTAGGAAGCGCCAAATATTAGATTATACTAAGAAATTATAGCAAAAATGCTGAAACCAACTCAATACAGAACAGAAAATAATACATATTTTAAACTGGAAACTCATTGAATTTTGTTTATAGTTTGTTTTTCGAAGTTTTGTCTTTAAATGTGTTTTTCGCTATTCAAATTTCTTTCACCTGTGTGTGACGCACAAGATTACTCGCTTTCTAATAAATTTATTATAACTTCGTAATTAATTTGAGTATAGCATTTTGTATTAATTCATTCAAACACTTGAATAGTAGGCGATATTGTATATTCCTTTCTGTAATAATGAAATTTATTTTTAGATAAAAAACCAAAGAAAATTTTTTTTCCCCAACCTTTTTCATTTTTTGAAATTTTTTTTAGTTTTTGTGACTTCAAAAAGAGCATATTTGACTGCCTATTAAAAGTATTTGTAAGTCATAAATATGATTTTTATTTTATTTTTGTTAATAACCATCGCTGAACAGTCGATCTAATTTTTTGGGGTTTACGACTACTAATGTTCAACTCCGTAGCCTCGTAATTTTGAACCCAATCCAGAAGACAAGGGAACTCCTGGATCAAGTATTGGGAGAAATTTGCCTTCGTGGAGGACTTTTTGATGGAACTAACCCCGCATTTGCGTTATATGGTGACGAAAACCGCGAAAACCTCCCAAGGCGGTCCTGACGGCAAGGGATCTCTAACCCATGATCCGTTTACCATTGAGGATATTTTATATCAGCACTGTGGTCGGTGCAAGCCGAGTGTGGAATTCGTATTAAGCTGCCATTGCTGCGATTCGAACCCGGTTCACCTCATTGGAAGACGAACGGTCTATACCCTGAGCCATCTCTGCTCAACATGATTTTTATGACGTTTATCATGCGCGTAAGAAGTCATGGTGTCATTTTTTTCCTTCAAATTTTACCTCTAAAAAAATGTAATTATAAAAAATATTCGCTTTGTGTTCTACAAAGGCTTTTGTATTTAAGTAATGCCTGTGCTAACGTTAAACTCTTGTAAAAAATTCAGAATCCTAAGATAAACAACAGTAATAACTAATTTTATTCAAATTTTGTGGTTTTCTACATAACGAAACAAAAATTCTTTCGCCACTAGGAAGATAGACAGCCAGTACTAGAGACAATTTATATTAATTTGAAATTAACCTTTTCACTACTAAAATGTAAAGAAATATAGCAAAAAAATATTTTACAATTCCGTATTTGTATTTTACTGCTTTAAATCATAATAAAAATGTAAATTATACTGCCAGGGGCTAATACTTTTAGCTGCACTTGAAGTAAAATATTGTAAATATTTCAAATGTTAAAATTCACCTAATGTAGGACCAAACATGCATATAATGTTATATTATGGGATATTTAAATAGAATGATGAAAATATTTAATAATTATTTAGAATAATTTGTTTTAAAAAAAGAATTTCTTTAAATAAAAAAAGGGAACTCTAAATGCAATACAAAAGCTTAACAGTGCATTACTGCATGGAATCTCAGTTTTAAAACTATTTTAATTACGCAAACAATGCAAAATAAATAATTATTGAAAAGAATGTAACATTGACTATAAAAATAATTAAAATCTTAGGGGGTAAAATTTCAAAATTACGGATAAAAACGCAAAAAATTTAAGTTATTGAAATATATGTACATACTTTAATATAAAATAATTAAAGGCATAAAAATATTACTAAATAGATGTAATATTGACATTTGACCGGACAACTATGCAGTCATAAATTTAGCCATAGCATAATCGTGACTGAATTATTTCTAAATATTAAGTAAATATAAATTTAAAAGCTTCATGCAGATTACAGAACTACCAAGTTAAAAGAAAAAAATTTCAGATGAGCTAAATTATATAATATTTAAAACACTTTTGTAAGTTTATAGCATGAATTTTCGATGTGTTTATGTGGAATTCTACGTATGTTTTGCATCTATTTCAGAAATATCCACCAATGTTTCAGCGAAGGTAAAATTTTTTCATAGCGTGTTCCTGGAAGTGTGGACTGAGGTAATTAAGAGGTTATAAACATAAACCACACACACAAAAAAGTTCAAAATTAATTGCACCGATAGTCTCCTTATTTGACGCACTCTAAGATTCTATGAAATATCTTAATTATCAGTTGATACTTTACCGCAATATTATTTTTACGACGCGACTGCAACCGGTTTGCACATTTTAACTAACGTTCGTGAATCAATTGGTTAAATTAACCGATACATAATATAAATTCGGCGAAAGGAAAAATTGGACGATATATTAGACAAATGTAGAATATTTATTATATCAGGTATTATACCAGTATATTATAATAATTAGGCCCAATTATTCGACACACTGTAGTGTTTTAATAATGACATGTTTTGCTCGAGTTTATATGCAATATATAATTATATTTAAGCAAACACGTAATGAGTTTTTATTTAGGAGATTTTTAATGTACTTCCTATTTGTATTTATTTTTAACATTACAACGTTAAATAATTGATACACTTACGTAAACAAGTGCAAACCGGTTTCAGTCTCATAAAAACAGTAAAGCTGTATAGTATCACCTGATAATTAAAATTTGACATAGAATCTTGGAGTGCAATATGGCAGGGAATGGTATATACAAATTGAGAAAAAAAAATAGAAAATTCTGAAGTGTCAAAAATGCTGGCGAAAAAACAAATTTGTAATTAAATAATTTATGCACAAAAGAAAATTTGATACAATAAATGATATTGAAATTAATAAACAAATTAGATGTGAAAATCAAAATATTATTTTAGAATTACTGTTGATACTGGAACTGAAAAAAAAGTATTTTGGAAATAAAAATTAATCATCAATTTCTAACTAAAAACGTAAACAAAAGTTGCTTAAAATGATGGTTTTTTGTCACTACTATTAGAGTGGCAAATGATTGTATAATTTCAAAAGCTAATTGAAGTCTTTGGAAGTTGTAGTATGACATATTTAATTTACAAAGTGATTTTTTTTTTATATAAAATGATTTTGAAAAAAGCCGGATTGGTAGTAAATTTATTATTAGGTTTATTTGGAGTGTAATTTAAAATCTTTATTCTGTACAGATATTCTATTCACTCCCCCAAACTGAAATACCACAGTAAATAACAAAAAATACCAAGAATAATAAAGAGTAATAAAAAAAATCTTTTTTTTAGGTAATAAAACATATAAAGAGCGGTTTTTTTTTTCGAAATTTCATTGAAGGGTGTTCTCCATTTTAAATTACAATCAATATACAAATCAAGATATTGAA